GGATGGGATAGGAAGCCTACTTATAAGAAAAAAAAAAGACCTTTGCCCATTTTTTCATTGGGTTATTTGTCTTTTCATTATTGAGTTGTAAGATTTCTTCTTATTTTTTTCTGGATACAGGTCCCTTATCAGACATATGATTTGCAAATACTTTCTCCCATTCTGTGGATTATCTTTTCCTTTTCTTAACGGTGTCCTTTGCAACACAAAAGCTTTTAATTTTGGTGAAGTCCAATTTATCTATTTTTTCTTTCATTGTTTATGCTTTTGTTTCATATTTAAGGAACCATTGCCTAATGCAAGGTTATGAAGATTTATGCGTATGTTTTCTTCTAAGAATTTTTTAGTTTTATCACTTCTTTTAGGTCTTTGATTCCTTTGGAGTTAATTTTTATATATGGTGTGAGGTAGAGGATGAGTATCATTCTTTTGCACGTGTATATGCACCATTTGGTGAAAAGAGTGATCTTTTCCCTGCTGAATTGTCTTGGCATCCTTGGGAAAAATCAATTGACCATAAATGTGAGGGCTTGTTTCTGGACTCTCCATTGTAGTTCATTGATCTGTTTGTCTCTAATATGGTTTTAAATACTTTTTTTCTTCCTGCGCTTTGTATAGAATAAAACATCTGTATATATAGAAGCATAAGGAGAAACCTGGAAGAAATATTAATCCTACTGTGGCAGAATGAATCATTGGTTCCAATTCTTCACTCCCCTCTAGTAGTTGTACACATCCACACTCTTGTCATCGTCTTAATACGGTAGGTAGAGTGTACTATGGCCTTGGTCCATTTGGACCTGGGTTTGGCCGTGCAATTTGCTCTGACTCTTGGTATGTCAGTGAATGTGACATGAACAGATACTTGCAGTGTACTTGTGCATTGGTCTTGCTCTCATGCATCACCATGAAAAGAATAAGCCCAGAGTAATCACTGGTTCCAAACAAATGTCAGATGCTTGGAACAAACCTGAACCCACCTTGTGATCTGGAGCCCAGGCAAGTTTAGCCAGACCCCAGCCAAAACTCTGACACTTCAGCAAGAAATAAACGCTTATCATTGTTTACCACTGTGGTGTTTGTGGTTGTTTGTTCTTTAGCAATAGCTAACTAATACACCTACCACTTAGAGATAATCACTCCTATCAGTTTGGCCTTTTGATCAAAAATGAGATTATGAAAAATGTTATATTCATACATATTTGTTCTCCTGTTGTTTTTACTTAACATTTTTCCATAATACCCTGTGTTATCAAAAGTTCTTGGTAAACACTCCTGTTATTATCTGCATATTTCAACCTTTAAAAGTTGTACATTTTTCTTAACCATTCCTATATTAGTTTTACCATTATAAGTAAAGGTACAATGAATTTTTTTTTAATTTTTTGATTTTTCCTTCTTCTCGCCAAAGCTCCCCAGTACATGGTTGTACATTTTAGTTGTGGGTCCTTCTAGTTGTGGCATGTGGGACACCACCCCAGCATGGCCGGACGAGCAGTGCCAGATCTGTGCCCAGAATCCGAACCCACGAAGCCTCAGGCCGCTGAAGCAGAGCACGCGAACCCAACCACTCGGCCAGGGGCCAGCCCCAAGGTACAATGAATTCTACCCCCTCTTTCTTTCTCATATAAACCTTGGTCTACAGTTCACATTTTTCCCTTGGAATGGATTCCTAGATACCTTTAATAAGTTCTTTTAACCAGAGTTCGAGGTGGAGCCACTGATTTCCTGATTTCCATGTTATTACTATTCATATTTTCACCTATACTATTGGGCCAAACCCAGATTGTTTTGCTTCTTAAGGGATACAGGCAAATTTAATTTAACTTTTCAAAAAACTATTTTTGTGAATTCTTCCAGCATGTTCCATTGTAAATGTCTTTGGACATTTATAGTTTATTCGAAAGAAGAAAATTGTTGCCACAAAAAATAAACTATACACAGCCCTGCCTCTCTTGTTTTCCTCTGGGCTTATGCAGAAATAGGGCATGGAGACAAAATGTGCACATGTGTTTTTTTTGTTTTTTGAGGTTTTTTATTGGCCTAGTTAATAAAGGATCATATACCCAGGAAGATGGCATCCAGGGTAGAATCCGGGTCTAACTTTCTTTATATCCATCACAGTGCATAGTGCATAGGTGCATTCAATAAATATTTGCTGAGTAAATGAATGTAAGAAATATAGAGAATGTTAAAGCAGCTTTTCAGGCCAGAAATTACTGTCCTCACAATAATTAATAACTATTTTTAAGACTTCAATAGTGACAAATATGCTGCATCTAAAATTAGATGTGTAGGACTTTAAAGAATAGGCCAGATGGCTGATACTATATCTAAACTTTTCTGGGTGCTTATTAGCAAATAAATGGATCTCTTTCTTCCCTCTTCTGCTTTCTCTTTCCCCAAGAAAAATCATATTTTTCAGGTCATCCAATAACGATTGATCTGGTTTTATTTTAGCAACCAGTAAAATGGTTACCTTGGGAACCCCAATATGTGCACTGGCTGTCCTGGCACAGTACATAAACTGAGCCTTCTGAGAAGCCTCATTTAGGGTGCCCATGGTCTGTCATCTTGCAACTGGAGCCCCCGATCTCACCTGGCAACCGCCTCTCTGCGTCTGCTGTAGAAGACCTTGGCCCCTCTGCTCCTGCTTCTTCACTGGCTTCTCAGGGGCCATCATCACTCAGCTCCTTGGGTTAAGCCTGGAGGTCCCCTCTCAAAGGCAAGGACTACTACCTGGCTCAGAAACTTCATATATTATGCGCCATTCTTATCAATTCATACCCTATGCCATATTTTTTTAAAAGTCAGCTTTGCTAGTCAGTCACCTTGAAATTCCCCAGACAGAATCGGAACAAAGGACAGGAAAACACTACTAGGATTGCTTAAATTGATGCATAGTGAGGCTCCATTGGGAACTGGGAGATGACAAGAGGGAGAAGGTCCTGTGGTGTGCTGCAGATCAACACAGCCACTGTCACAATTTGTTTGGATGAGTCCAGGCTACAGATGCCAGCAATTTCTCACACCCAGAAACTCTCCCACCCCCCAGCACACACTTATTTACTTGAGGATGCAGGATGTGCGAACAAAGCAGAGAAGGGCCAAAGCATTCCCTAAGGACTGAGAATTGCTGCTAATGGTCAGCAGGCAGAGAGAGGCGTGTTCCTCATGCCCCATTTTTTTGTCAAATCATGTGCCTGGTGCTATGTAGGTGATAGAGGCACAAGAAATACTCCAGCTGAATGAAGCATAATAAAGAAAATAGAAATGCGATGCTGTAGAGTGCCCACAGAAAACCTGATGACCTTGTCCTCCAGAGGCAAACGTTCATTTCTACTCCCGCGTGGAGCAAAACAACTTGAAAGAGAGTGAAAATGCAGATGAGACAGTTATCAGATAGTGACTATCTGGACAAGAGAGAGCCTTTTATTTGTCCGTTTAGTCCTGGGGAGTTTCAGTTAAGGCTCGTCCATAACTGCTCTCTTACCAATGTTCCTGGGGGTGTTCTTAGAGAAGCCCTGTTGCCGCCCCATTGTAAAGGAAACTGCCTGTGAGTTTTCAACCATTACAGCTGCGATGATGAAACGGTGAAGAAGAACTGCCTCTAAGTCAAAAAGTGCACCCAGAGATAAGCTTCATTTTCAATGCCCTGCGGCTGCTTCTGATGGCATGGCCACTGCACTTCTCAGTAAGTGGGGATACAAGGCTGATTCATCTCAGAGTGAGCAAATGCCTTTTTTCTGTGATAATACCTTGCGCTCCACCTCCTAATAATTTCATTACATGGGGGAGGGAGAGATTAGGAATAGCGAGAAATACTGATTTATAAATGTATGGCAAACTTTTAAATAAAGGGAAAGGGGAAACAACCCCCCCCCCCATAACTCTATTATTAGCTGGGACAGAACTAATAATGGTGGTGTAAAACATGTACCGGACAGGTCACATCAATTCTGTGTGTAGCATTCTATTCTTGTGTATTGGCTGCATAACAGAGGTGTACAGAGCCATGGCAAGGTGAGTCATATTAAAATAATACCTATAGTTTTGTTGATGCTGTTATATCGAGACTGGTTTCTCACAGCTGTGGATACTTTAGGGATTAAAATGAAAACATATATTCTGCCAAGATTTCTTAGAAAGTATGTGAGTTTAGGAAATAGGGTATAGGATATAATAAAATATCTTGGTGAGGAAGTTTCAGGGTTTATTAAGAAAACTACAACTTAAGTAACAGCAGCAAAAAAAGAGGCGATTGCATTGCATCTAACTGAAGGCAGACTGCTTTTTGTTTCTCCTAGGGGTTCTGGGATTTTAAAAATTGTTTAGTTTTATATAAAATGTACAAGAATTTGCTGAAATATCTCGTTGAGTTTTATGTTCACTAATTTAATTATGTACCCAAAGCAAAATAAATATATTTCCATGTATACAGAGGAAATGGATGGGATGAAACAAACAAACAAAAAAAATGGAAGAAGAAAGAGAAAGAAAAATCAGAATCTCTTAATACTTCATGAGCCTAAAACTCATAAACACATGAAAAGTGACCACTTTTATAGCCATATTATTAATACATTTGATACCCGATTTAATGAATTATCATGCCAAAGACTTCATTACCTGGTACAATTTCTATTTCATGTGAAAGGTTATGCCCTCCTTCATAGTTATCAAAAAATGTATTAACGTATGTTAAAAGTTTGCATTTTAAAACATAATAAAGCTTTGGAAATCAAATCACCTCATTTGTTTTCATTACTTGAAGTGCTGCTTGGGGAAATTTTTAGGCAAGCTACCAAATGTATCTCACCTTGCGCCAAACGGACCGGGCTTGTTACCTGCTCCCAGCCTGCCGTGCACTGATCTAGCTTGTCCCTGTGCTAGGTTTTTCCCCACATAGCTTGACTTGGTAGGGGTGTATATTAATTTGCCTCTACTCTATACAGGCCCAGGCACATTTAGCATCTGCCCTGTGCCTGATACTGTGCTAGGTGCTGGAGCTGCAACCACAGGCACAGACACGATGGACAGAGTGCTGGCGCTCTGCTACTGAGTACGGTCATCGGAAACTAGAGGATCGCCAGAGCCAGGTATGCCCAGGAATCGGGGAGCATGGATGTGGGATGACAAATCCCATCAGGCATGATTAGCTGGAAGATATTTAACCATTGGGAGAGTTGCAGCAAACTTCTTCCTCCATTGTCCAAATGCTCAGGGTGGCAGCACCATTTCTACCTTGCCTAAAGATTGTTTATGTCTGTGGCAACAATTTGAATCCATGAGTTATATTTTATGACTATTTTAGAAAATTAATCAGAAATCCAGCAGTATTTTAAAAAATTGCATGCATTATACATGTTCCTTATTACTCATTTATATTTTTAGGAACGTGCAGAGTTTTTCATTTGGGGGTAATGCAATGTACCTAGCTAAACATATCATTTGCATTTTACACCTTGGTTTATTTATTTATTCTTCATCCCTCAAGAGCTAGGTTTTATTGCTGATTACACTGTACAGGGAAAAAAAGAGGAAGTAAAAAGTAAACTCTTTACTTTTAAGGGCCTAATAGAGCATGAATCCTCTCAGTTGCTTTTCAATTTCTATGCACTGAAGTTGAGTCTGGAGTTGGGTGTCACCACAGCTGACTCAAAAGGCTCTAAAAATAGGCCTGCAAATACAACTTTGGTTATAAAACAAATGCCCCAGGCAGAAAAATAAGTTGAAACGAAAAAAAGAGGGGAAAATATTTATAAGTCTGAACTTCAGTAGAATTTAACCAATTCTCAGGAACACTGGGGAAATCCATTGCCAATTGTCAAAATTTTACCCAACTTTCTAGAAACATCTGTACAGAAAGAGCTAGTGCTCCTATTGTCTCCCAAATTTCAAAGAATATGACATCTACCAGAAGCCAGATTCTCAGAAGACACTCGAGGAATTTTGAGTTGACTCAATGAAATGTCACATGAGCAGGTAGCCTATGATATATCTCTAAGGGATTATTTCTGACCATTGTACGTAGGCAATGCTTTTGCCGGTCTTTGCTTTGTTCCGCTTAATTTGAATCTTATTTTAACAATTTAATGGTTTTCTGCTGGATTTTAATTGGCAGCCATGAGATGAAGAATGAGTTGAACATATTGTCATTTTGATATATGTTTTAAGCTAGTGAAGTAGCCCTATTCTTATACAATGAAATGATAAATATTGCCCAGTTGACATCTATTTAACAGTATATCTTTGGATTAAAGAAATGGCCCAGGGGCCGGCCTGGTGGCGCAGTGGTTAAGGTCGCATGTTCTGCTTCTCGGAGGCCCGGGCTTCGCTGGTTCTGATCCCGGGTGCGGACATGGCACCGCTTGGCATGCCATACTGTGGTAGGCATCCCACGTACAAAGTAGAGGAAGATGAGCACGGATGTTAGATCAGGGCCAGGCTTCCTCAGCAAAAAAGAGGAGGACTGGCAGTAGTTAGCTCAGGGCTAATCTTCCTCAAAAAAAAGAGAGAGAGATGGCCCAAAGAGATGTGAGCTGTTTTTCCAGCAGGCGAAATTGCTATGCCTGGGACCAGAAATGTTAAGGTGCCAGGTGAAAGCCTGGAGGAAGTTTCAGGGAACAGAGCAGAGAGAGAACAGAATTATAGAAAATATGGGGTCAATTGCTGAAGCTTCACTAATACCCAGCCTTGTGTGGATTTTCCTGACTCACAAAAATTGTCATTCTTGTTAATATTTAGACTCTTATTTGAGTATATTGTGTATTCTAAAGGACAACGAATTTTCTTTCAAAGGCATCATCATTTTTGACAGAATATATCACAATGAGATGTGAAAAGAATCATGGTAGTTTTTTGACAAAAAAATTTAATCACTAAAAATTTTTGAATGATTGAATCTGAAAAATAGCTCTGTTTCCAGCACCTATAAAATCAAAATACATAATAAATTCTAAGGGAGAGTACTTGTAAAATATTCAATTATCTTCCCACCAAAATATTCAACAATTTCATTATGTCAACAGTTTAATTGCAAAGGTATGGTTATAACGTATTACTTACTCTACTCGTCAGTAAAAGTCACTAGGAAATATCAATTTTGCAATTTTTTATGACCTAGGATTTTTTTTTCTGACCTAGAATTCCTTCTATTAATGACAATTAATGCCAAGTTAGAACATATATATGGGCCGCCCCGGTGGCGCAGCGGTTAAGTTCACGCATTCTGCTTCAGCAGCCCGGGGTTTGCCAGTTCGGATCCCCGGTGGGGACATGGCACCACTTGGCAAGCCATGCTATGGTAGGCATCCTACATATAAAGTGGAGGAAGACGGGCACGGATGTTAGCTCAGGGCCAATCTTCCTCAGCGAAAAAGAGGAGGATTGGCAGCAGTTAGCTCAGGGCTAATCTTCCTCAAAAAAAAAAAAAAAGAACATATATAGTATTATTTTGGGAAATGATATCAAAGACATGACCTTCTTAACTTGAAGAGGAAGGCATCATTGTTGTTGTTTGTTAAAGATTTTTTTATCTGCTTCTCAGGCTCAGTACATAACTAATGCCTCCCTTTAATTCCTTAAAATTCTCACGTGTTGAAAATTTTAAAATACTAGAGTACCTGCTTTTATTGTCATTGTCATTTTAAAAAATTCTTTTTCTACATGGTGTAGAATCATCAGAGAGAAAGAAACACAATTATTCTTATGAAAAGTGGTATAATTCTGATTAGCAATATCTAAGTGGATTTGAAAAAGGAATTGATTTATATGCTGTTTCTGTCTTCTATGTTGTAGCATTATCCAATTTCATTAGTGAGTTAAGCAGTGATAGTAGTAACTTAAGTAGTAAGTTAGTCAAGTAGTTAGCTAAGAATTAATAATGAAGTTGAGTGTTTTTTGCTATTTCCTAAAGGTACCCATTTAGCCGATGTCTGTCCTCTGTGGTTCTATCAAAATTATATTTGGAAAATACCAAGCCATTTAAATAAATTTTTAAACTGGAAATTGTGTCATTTAAATTAGTACAGAACATAGATTCTGCTGTTGGAAGATCTGAGATTGGTCCAGGTTCCATCATTTACTAGCTGCTTAATCTTTGGCAAATTATGTAACCTTTCCGCCTCCTTTTCGTCACTGTAAATTGGATAATAACCATGTGTGCCACACAGCAAATCACTGGGGGAGAGCACATGAGAGACAATAGGAAGAACTGGTTTGTAAAAGTGAGGGCAGCACACAATAGGAGGAAGCTATGCCTATTATTTGTTCGTTAAAATTAAGTTCACATGAGAAATGCCTTTCAAAATTTTCAGAGGAAACACTCAAGATTTCTAATCTACAATTCCCAGAAAGAGATCCTCAACTCTCTTCTTTGATGTGTGAAACAAGATGCTGCCATGATTTATCCACTTTTTCACACTGGCCTCACAGAATTAGAACATTTCTATTCAAGACTCATTTTTATTGTCTGATTATTTAAGTAGGTAGACATATTATTTTTATTTTCTCCAGGCTCATAACTATGTTTTCTATTCCTTTTATAGTCTGCTCGCATTTGGGTTCACCAAAAAATTCAGCCTCTCCAAAGTTCAAAGTACCACAAATTTATTCTGGCTTTGTGATACAAAGTTTCTCTTTCCCACCTTGAAATTGTTTTAAATTTATGTTTCTTGTCATCGTAGGGGAGGCAGAAATATTCCTCCACCTCCCTAGGTTCTTCTGACCGGTCCAAGAATTAAACTGACAGGAGACAGAGTGACAGGAGAAAATCTAACTACTTTAATAACGTGTATACATGGGGGAAACCCAGGAAAACTCAACTAACTCGCCGAAGTGGCTGAAGCCACCACCTTAGATACCATCACCAGCTAAAGACAAAGGAGGACTAGTGGTTCGGGACTTCAAAGGGGGGGAAGCCAATTCACATGGAAATGGAAAGCAAATGCTTAGTAAATGGATGTTTGCGGTGCCTTGCAGAGACAATGGGACATGGAGAGGACTTAGATCGAAGGGCCTTGCTGGGTTCCTCCGTCTACCACACCAGTTCGTATTATAGTTCTCTATGGTGATAGACCTTCCTGGAACAGGCCTTCTATCTTAAATTCTTTTAAGCAGTCAGGGGGAAAATAAAACATATCTTCCTGAGTCTTTTGTTCTTAAAAATAATCAGGCATAAGAGACCCAATTTGGAGTAGCAAATTCTGCTCCCCTGCATCATATTGGCTCCTATTTAAATACTCAGTTATGGAAATGGTAATGATGTTTATTCTCAATTTGATTAACTGTGGCTAGAAGTTTTACTGTTCAAAAATCGGCTCTGGTCTCCGGCTGAACACCAATTCTCTGCTTCTTACTTTCCTCTTGCCTGGCTTTGCACATGCTGTGCATGCCACCAGGAATGCCTTTCCTCACTTGCATGTGTGTCAAGAACTCTAGTTCCTCCTTTAGGAGTCAATTCAGAAGTCTCTTTGATCCTCCTGTGCCCTACACACTCTTTTATTGCAACAGTTTTTAGACTGGACTACAATGATTGATTTACTTTTCATTCTGCCCCTCAGACTGTGGATCGACATTTGAAAGACAGAATCCAAGATTTGTTCATATTTGTATTTCTAGCATGTAACAGACCGTTCAGAAATGTCTGTTAAATGGCCAAATGACCACATCTTACTTTAGAAAGCAGCTGTCAGTTTTTCTTAAAAATGGCAGCAGGTGGGGATTTTGATCTTCATCTTTCTGTTTTCCATAGGATGTGATCACCATGGCGCCCACATTACTGATTCTTTTGTGGGCCACAGGGATACTGCAAGTAGATTTACTTCCTGATAAAAAACGTAAGTGCCATCTATTAAATTTAATAATGTTTCTTGGGGGAAAAAAACACATTACAAAAATGATAGTATTATTTTCTCCTAAATGATCCCTCATTTGGCAGTTACACATGGATTTTTATAAAGGGATAGGCTATCATCAGAATACAAACTCTTTAAACACGCTATATTTTAAGAAAGGTAAGTTGGCCGAAATGCAAATTTTATGCTACAATGGGAAGTCATATGCCAAGTGTGGTTGTATGAGCGCTATGGAATGACACTGGAGCTGGTGGCCACAATTGGAGTATATTGCCATGCAAGGAAATACGTAGAAGGCCTCACGACTAAAGAATAAAAAATTTCCACTATGTTTGGTTCAGAAACTTGATCATCTATGTGTTTGGTGTGATGACAGAGTCTAAGAAAAGAAAACTGTCACATGGTCCCCATCTAACTTTGCCTAAGAGAACTGTCTATGATAATGGCAATGTTCTATATCTGCACTGTCAAATGCAGTGGTCACTAGCCATCAGTGACTACTGAGCACTCGAAATGTGGCTCATGCAACTAAGGTGGTGAACATTTGATTTTATTTAAATTAATTTAAATTTAAATAGCCATATGTGGCCAATGGCTACCATAGTGGACAGTGCAGTACAGACAGAGCTCTAGAAGTCTGCATGTGCAGGTGTGGATGTGGAGTTGTGGAAGGCTGGGAAGGCTGTCAAATATTAAACATCAGCGGAAACATCCTGACCACATACTAAGTGAGTCAAAGGAGGTTTCATAATTGTGTGTACAATATTGTCCTTATATTAGAAAAAAACGTAAAAAGTTGTGTAAACATATGTCCAGGAAAAAAAGATGATGAATATATCACGTATTAATGCCATTCTCAGTGGTAGGATTGTGGGTAGATTTCTTTTCTTTTTTTGCTCATCTATGCTTTCCAACATTTCTAAAATGAATAGGCATTGATTTTGTAATTTAAATAAAAGCTTTTATTTTGAAGGCAAAGTTAGAGAGTGGTTAATTAGGGGGAAAACACCCTTTTCTTTCTGTAAATGCCTTTATAAGTAGTTTTACTCAGAAATTTTTTGACTTTGAATTGTAATAACACATAAATCCATTTTGTATCATGAACCAGTACACATAGAAATATATAATGGAAACAAGGTTTATGAAACAATACTTGTTATATTCCATGCATGCTGGTATTTTCTATTCTATTTTCTTCCCTGTCATTAAAACAAAAAATTGCTAGTCACCACCCAATAAATTATCACAGCCATTTATGGATAATGACCCTCAGTTTGAAAACTATGGTTATAACGAATAAAGATATAGTAAAATATTCATATTTCAACAAAAATCCTGTAGATGTTATAGGCAAGCACCTGGGCAAGGTAAAACAAGATAAGGAGTTAAAAGCAGTTTTAAAGAAACTTCTTCCAAAATTGTTTCAGTATGATATGTTCTAATAGCAAATAAATACTATACTACCATACCGAATAAAATGCTATACTGCACAATTAAATATTTAAAAAATTTAAAAAGTGCTGCCTGTGCACAATTGAACATTGTATTGCTTCTTTTGATTGACAGTTGTGCTTCTCCCACCTGTCAATTTCACCATTGAAGTTGCTGGTTTATCTCAAGCTCTTTTACGCTGGGAACCAAATCCTGATCAAGAAGGAAGGAACGTTAAGTTGGGATATCATGTGAAAATAAGTGCTCCACAAGAAGAAGACGTAAGTGTTTATTCTGATGGCAATCCTTATTTAGAGTAAATTTTAATTTTGACTGCATTTTACTTATCAAGGGAAGTTTTAGCTCAAAAAAAGGAAACAGCTAAAGGGCTTTTTCATAGGTCCCCAGTAAAGTAGCGTCTCTGGTTGAAATGGCTGTGAATAGTGCTATGCACGTCGCTTAGCATGAAACAACAGTATAGAACATTTTAAATTTGGGACAATTCTTTTGCTTAAAAAACAAACTTTAGTGACTTCTGAGGTACAATGGATTAGGTATTCATTTCAATGTTTCCTCTGAAATAGCCAAAAGAAGAGAAGAGAAGAGCTGAGTAAAATGGGAGGAGGGCAGATGCCAAGTCAGAGTGACCAAGTTCGAATCCAGTTCAGCCACTTCTTCCATTTGTAATCTTGGACCCATCACTTAACCCCTCACGCCCCAGGCTCACCGGGGGATGTGTTAAAGTGCCTGATTCCTTGTAGGTGGGCAAGAAAATTAAACAAAGGGAGAAGCGATTAGTATCAACGATTTTTTGGTCAAGATGGAACTCTAGAGAATTTTCTGTCAAAAAGTTACCTCTGGGGAGGAGACTGGAGCTAGAGATGGTGGTCAAAGGGAATTTGAGCCTTAATTATAATATTTTCTTTGTTTTTCTAAGAATGTGCTCATGTATCACTGAAGAATTAAGTATTTTGTTATTATTTATTGGTTTTTTAAAAACGTCCAAATACTAAAATTGGGTAATTTATTTATTTTTTAAAACCACTTTATTGAGGTATGACTGATGTGTACAAGGTTGTACATGTTTAATGTATACAACTCAATGAGTTTAGGAGTATATATATATATATATCTGTGAAACTGTGAGGTTAACTATTTCCTAGCAAAACAATTTCATTGCATTTTATGCGCCATTTAAAAAGTGGAAGAAAATACATATTTGATTAAAGTAGGTCTCTTAAGGCTATTTCCCTTTTACGTATCATGACTCGTGGGTTTTATTTTTAGTATGAAACCAGGAGCACTGAAAGCAAACGTGTAACCATCCTTCACAAAGGCTTTTCAGCAAGTGTGCAGACCATCCTGTGGACTGACCCCTCCCTCCCAGCAAGCAGCTGGGTTTCTGCTGATCTTGAAGCCCCAGCAGGTAAGGCGCGCCTCTAAAAGTCCAGTTTTATATTTCAGACTTTGCAGATATGGGAAAGTCAAAAAACTAACAACTCGCTTTTCTTTTCTCTAGTCGGTCACCAGCTCCTGCCCCATATCCTTCCACCTCATGAACATCCTCACCAAGGCTTTTCTCACTCCCTGTTGTCATAACCCATCCAATTCCATCTGGCACGTCTCTGCAAACATCACGCACGCTTCTCACTCTCCTGCTCAGAAGCCACAGGGTCATAAACAAAGTCTGGGCCCATCAGGTCCCTCATAATTGGGTTCTAAGCCATCTTTCCAACTACACCCTACTTGAGTCCTCTGCTGTCTCAGATGGATCTAACCATGATCCCCACACACCAGCACGCTCCTGCCTCGGAGACCTTGCTTTCCTGGGCTCATCTCCTCTGCCTGCTTTTCTGAATCCTTCCCATACGTCAAAGCCCAGATCAAGTCGTACACCCTCTGTAAAGCCCTTTTTTTTCTCGTCCTATACTCTGAAGGGTGCTCTTCCTCCTCAGAACTCATTCATGGGCTGTGCTACTCATTTGGCACATACAACATTATATTATTTATCTTTCACAAATAAATAGATTTTTACGCCGCCCTTCCCAACTCTAAGTTCTTTAGGGGAAGGGACAATGTCTCATGCTCTGTTGCACCGAGCATAACAAGCTGTACATGCGTTAGGCATAGTATTCCCTCATGTTGAGTTTGTGGATTTGTTTCCAGTTCTATAGTTTCTCATACTAAATTGAAGAAAACTTTGCTGACAGTTCACAGAAGCCACCACAGTGAACAACCTAACAGCCATGGGGAAAGAAGACAACATTCACGGTCTCTATACTGTCCTTCAGGGGAAATTTGGGGATTCTAATGCTTAGAACTAGTGACGCTTCTGATTAAACACTTAGACATACATACAATAGGGAAAGAAAAGAGGAGGAGCAGATCTCCAAGTCCTGGGATGTGTGAGTGCACCTAATGACAATTGCCTTGGCCAGTCTGGCCCCTGAGTAACTGTCAAGCCATTCTCTTGTCACACCACTGGATGGAAAGGCCACGGCTCTCGAATTGTGTTGGTGACTAAGAACAGTATTGTAAAGATCAAAGATCATCCTATTTACTCATTCTAACACATTATCTAGATCCTATAGCAGCCAATTTATGATGGGCTTGATCCCAAGTGCACAGACAATCCAAGGTGGCCACAAGATCGCAAATACAGGTCATTGAGGGCCTTACATTAAACCACTTTTCCACCTCTCTGTAATGAATTATGGGAGTGTACCTGTAACGTACCTTTCGGAATTACATTTCTGCAATCCTAATTATTCTCTGAGCGTGCCAATACAGATTGACACTAATGAAAAATTAATTATTTCTGCCTTGAATCAAACTGAATTCATACCAAATAATTCCATGGAAGGGACCTGGGAGACAAGCTGACTTCAGGAAACTCTAAACTATACTTGGACATGGACCATCCGGTCATTTAGTACACGGACAGTGCATTCAGTACAGGCATATATATAGATATGGGTTTATATATTTATATATGTGGATATATATATAAACAAACATATCCAGGAGTGCATGGTGATAATACAAAGGACCCAGTCTTTCTTTTGTCTTTAACTTCTCTACAGACAACAAAGGGGTCTCTTCCTCTCCCCCTTGAATGACACTGGCTGACAGTGATAAATATGATCTTATAACTGACTTAAACTAAGCTAAAATGACTCCCTTCTATCATTCAAGGTTGAGTCTAAAGGCTCCCACTTTGGTGAGGTCCTCTCTGACCCTCGGCCCAAAGTGCTTTTTCCCCCTCTGAGCAACCACAGGGCCAGTGTTCCCACAATGTGTTCTGAAGAGCACTCATTAGCATGGTGACAAGGGGGTTGAAATAAAAACAAGGCTTTCCAGTCAATTAACCTTGGGAAATCCTGGGTGAAATGAACGGAACAGGTTCCGTTGAAAATCTCAAGATTTCCTTAATGTCCTTGCATACTAAAGAGGACTTTAATGTGCTAGTGTGTGTTCAGTCTCCAAAGAAGAAGTATTATTTTACAGTATTGCCAAGATTCATTTCCTTCTGAGCAGCAATCTGTGTTTTTCATGACTCATTTGGGTACAACCTAATGAATCATACAGTTCTAGGATGGAAAGTGGCATTGGACACCTTCCTCCACCCACTCTGTCGTTTACAGCTGGGAAAACTGAGGCCCAGAGCAGTAGGGTGCAAGGTGTCACAGCTAGTTATTGACAAATGTGGCACCAGAACACCACGGCTGCTGGACACCAAGCTCTGAGTGACAACATATTGTACTGCTCTTGAACTTTGATTCATGTTTGTCACACACAACTATCCCCCCCGCAAAAGTAGCTGGAAAGCCCTTTGATGTCAGAAACTACAATTTTGTCATCCTACCTTCATCCCCCAGTAAGTTGGCCCTTTGCAAATAGTAGGTTTCTACAAATATGTGATGATGATTAATTTTTGTTGAGACAAGATGCTGCCAATCACTACAGTTTCAAAGGAAGTAGAAAATTCAGAAGTTATCATGGCAATGTTTTGTTCTTTTTATTTTTGATCATCTAGGGTCTCCTGGAACCTCAGTTGTGAATTTAACTTGCACCACAAACACTGCAGCAAATAATTATACACATTTAAGGCCATACCAAGTTTCTCTTCACTGCACCTGGCTTGTTGGCAAGGAGGCTCCTGAGGATACACAGTATTTCCTCTACTATAGGTTAGTACCTATTTTTACTTATGCAAATGGGTTGTTTCCTCCAACCTTAAAAACCTATGAATGTTCCAATTTAGGTATGGCTCTCAGACCGAAGAATGTCAAGAATACAGCAAAGACACACTGAAGAGAAATATTGCATGCTGGTTTCCAAGGACTTTTATCAATAGCAAAGGGCGTGACTCGCTTGCAGTGTATGTTAACGGCTCAAGCAAGCATGCTGTCATCAAGCCATTTGATCAGCTGTTTGCTCTTCACGCAATTGGTAAGATAGACTTAAAGCTGAAATAACCAAATTGCAAAATCTCGGCATTGGAAGGAATTGTAAAGATCACCTAGTTTGACTACAGTTCTGCTGCTAAGTGATCGTCCAACCTCTGCTTAAAAAACACAGGGGCAAGGTTTGCAACCTCAGCACTACTGATATTTTTGGCCAGAGAGCACTGTGTTGTGGAGGCTGTCCCGTGCCTTGTAGGATGCTGATCAACATCCCTGGCCTCTACCTACAAGATGCCAGTAGCACCCTCCCACCAGTTGTGACAACAAAAATGTCTCCAGACATTTCCAAATGTCCCTTGAGGGATAAAATCTCCCCCAGTTGAAAATCACTGCCCCAAGGAAAGTGAGCTCACTGCTGAAGGGAGCCCATTTCATCTCTCAGCAGCTCTGACTGCTTTCATGAAATTTCTGCCCATGGATCCTGTGATGGATTGGTAGCACCTCCAAACAATTCTGACCCCTTTCCCCACAAGATGGTCTCTCAGCCATCCAAAGGAAGCCAGGTTTCCCATCCTGAGATTTCTCTTCCCCAAGCTACTGGCCCTCAAGTCCTCATGCATTCTTATCTTCCTTTGCCATTTGGGTCTGTCTCCTCTGGATGTTTTTGAGTTAAAATGTCTCTCTCAGCATGTGATTTTCAGATCTAAATATATTATTGAAGGTTTCATTTTCTCAGTTCTCAAAATATAAGATATTTTCCTTCATCCTAGATACTTATATTAATGAAACTCTTCAGTGCCTTTCACATAGCATTCTTGGTTATTAACACTCAAGATTTCAGTGGTGGCATGGTTATCAGGCTGAGCTGTGGAGCCAGGCTGCCTGGACTTGGATCCTGGCTCCTCCACTGACTTGGTGACTTTAGATAAGCTGGTCATTCCTCAGTTCCTCAGTCTTATGTGAAAAATGGGGAGAAACTAATACTTCCTATAAAGTTTTTTTGACAATTAACTATGTTAGTAATTATAAAGTTCTTAGAACAGTGCTGGGTATAAGTACCCAATAAATGTGCAAAATACTATTATTTAAAGGACATGATTTGGCTTGTGGCACATCTAGATCTATATCAAATGGAGTATAACTTTGTTTAAAGAGCTACCCAGTGCTTACTAAAGAGGTTATTCAGTTCTCTTCAATAGTATATTTCTTAAATGACCTAAAAATGTCACTTTCATGAAAATAGGTAATAAAAAATGCTGAGGTGATCCTGGAAAACAATGATATTAATATAAAAGTGGACACAAACTTGTACAGACCACAGGAATTCATTTTCTTTTGTGATTTCCATTTTGTCGAGACTAATTCCTCAGATTACTAAAAGAAATACTTTTCTTGGTTAAATATTTTCTGCTTAGGGAACGGCAGTCTCTGGAGCCACTGGGTCCCATTCTGAGCTTATTCCTATGATTCATTAACTGTGAGATCTAAGTCATATGACCTAAGACAAGAACACTCCCCTAAAAATAGTTTCCACCCGTATCACATGGCCATAAGACAATCAAGCGAGAAGCTCTAAGAGGAAAGAACTGTAGAGTTATAAGCAAAGACAAATTTAGCCCAATCCATTCTTTTTATGCAAGACAAAACTAAAGCTTTCTACTCCATCCCCTAAACAAACCAAAATAAGACACACAAAACAAAATGAAACAAAAACTGGAGCCCAGAAAGGGGAAACGATTACCCAGGGCCACACACCTGCTCAGTAGAAGCAGGGCTGGGTAGGAGCTGCAGGGCAATTTCTCTCCAAGATCAGGTTTATTCTAGGCTTAGATCCACTTGAGAAGTAAAAAGGGATGGTGGGGTGGGTCTTGCAATGAGTTGACAGGGGAAGGGATTCAACCATTCAACGCCATTTGGAGTAGGAATCTTTGAATGTTACCGCAGGGATCGCTTCTTCAGTGCTACAAGACGGGAGTCATATGTGAGGCACTGGAGTCCTGTGGCTTGGAGATCAGTTAATTAAATCCTGAGGGTAAATACTTGAGAAGACCATATCTTAGAAATGCCTTGAATGTGAGTGGATTGGATTTATCAGCTCCCATAGCCGACCTCTCATTCTCTAACCTAGATCGAGTAAATCCTCCGGTGAACATCACAGCACAGATTGAAGGAACCTCTCTCTCTATCCAATGGGAGAAACCAGTTTCTGCCTTTCCAATCCATTGCTTTGACTATGAAGTGAAAATTTACAACACAAGGAAGGGTTATGTTCAGGTAATTCTTCAGATCATTCCAATATTCGATGACAGCATTCTTTTAGAAATATTTCTTTTTCTTGTTCTTCTCCAATGAATTTTATTAAAAATGACCCTCCCCAATTTCCTCCTAAAATCTAGTAAAAGCTAACCTTCTCTTTGTCTCTTTGCATTTGCCTATGGCTCGCCATAGTTTGCTTGTCCCAAATTTCAATTCCTCTGCTATTCCTGAATGAACTCATCATTTTTTTGAGTTTGCCTCAGTTTACTTCTTTTTTTTCAGTTTTTGTTTTTATTGAGGCAACATTGGTTTATAACATACACATTTCAGGTGTGCATCATTATATTTCTACTTCTGTAGTGACTACATTGTGTTCACCACCAAAAGTCTAGTTGCCATCCGTCACTGTACTCATAAACCCCTTTACCCCTTTTGCCCTCCACCCATCCCTCTTCCCTTCTGGTAGCCATGAATCTGTTCTCTGTATCTACATGTTTATTTGTTTATTTTCCACATATGTGTGAAATCATACGGTGTTTGTCTTTCTCTGTCTGACTTATTTCTACTTAGTTTAATACTCTCAAGTTCTGTCTGTGTTGTTGCAAATGGCAAGATTTCATCTTTTTTTTTTTTTATCTGAGTAGTATTCCATTGTATATTGATCACATCTTCTTTATCCATTTATCTGTTGGTGGGCACTTAGGTTGTTTCCAAATCTTGGCTATCTTGAATAACACTACAGTGAACATAGGGGTGCTTACATCTTTTTGAATTAGTGTTTTCATGTTCTTTGGATACATACCCAGAAGTGGAATAGAAACATTTTTAAATTACCTTCAGTGACTGCTCTGGTTGCAGCTTGGATCTAACAAGGTCAAAGTTAACTTACATCTACCCAGGTTTTATGAAAATAAACCAAACTTTACTGGCCTTGTGTCTTGAAAGGGCATACTTTGGCTTGAAAATAATACAAAGGATCAGATAAAAATTGTAAAATGGTGCAGCCACTATGGAAAACAGTATGGCAGTGTCTCAAAAAATTAAAAATAGAGTTGTCATATGATCCAACAATTCTACTTCTTGGTATATCTCCCAAAGAATTGAAAGCAGGGTCTCAAAGAGAGAAATTTATACATCCATGTTCATAGCAGCATTATGCACAATATCCAAAAAGAGGAAACAACCCAAGTGCCCATCGACAGATGAATGGGTAAACAAAATGTGGTATACGCATACGATACAATATTATTCAGCCTTAAAAAGGAAGAGAATTCTGACACATACAACAACATAGATGAACCTTGAGGGCAATAAACTAAGTGAAATAAGCAAAAAGATAAATACTGCATGATTCCACTTATATGAGATATGAAGAGTAGTCATATTCATAGAGACAGGAATGTAGAATGGTGGTTGCCAGGGAGAAGAGGGGGATGGGGAGTTGTTCTTTAATGGTGCAGTTTCAGTTTTACAAGATGAAAAGAGTGCTGGAGATTAGTTACACAACAATGTGAATGTACTTGCCACTACCAAATTGTACACTTAAAAATAGTTGAGATGGTAAAGTTCATGTTATGGGTATTTCACCACAACTTTAAGAAACTCATTAGCACTAATGGACAACAAGGGGAAAGGAACTGTGAAGAAAGCCAACATTTATTGAGCATCAAACTGTGTGTCAAGCTTTATTATGCTAGTTTATTCTATCGTCATAGTGACCCTATTATGTAATTATTCTTATTTTACAGGAGAATGAGGCACAGAGAGACTAAATGATTTGCCCAAAGTCACAAAGCTGGAAAAATATAGGGAAGTCAGCATTCAAACTCATGTCTTACTGATAGTAGGTCTAGCAAATTCAGTTTGATTCAATTTGACTCAACAAATATTTACAACTTGGCTTCTTTGTGGAGGATAGAAAGATAAATAAGACACTGTGGCTATCAGGGGACCTCGTCTATCGGACACACTTACCTAGCCTCAGAGTTGCCCACAGTAAAGGCCCACAGAGGTACAAAGGAAGGAGTGGGCATGGCAACCTGTCAGGGCCTCCAGAGAAATGAATTGAATGAAACTTTGAAAGATGAATAGGAATTTGCTTGGTGAAAGAAGAGGAGGACTTTTTTAGCCAGTGCTTCCCAAAATACCTATTGCGAAAGACTGGCTTTCCTTTTTAAATTTCTAATCCACTAGAGATTGGTACTTTTGTAAAATAAAATGCAAATGATTTGTTAGAAAAATCAAATATACCTACAGACAAGCCCAATGATCGCAGACTTGGAGGTCATGGCAATGTCAAATTCCTTTGAAACCTCCTGAATTATAGTCTGTATTTACCTCATCTCGGGTCAGTAATAAACGGCTTCTGACCCACACCAGTCTGCCAACCACACTTGAATCGTGGGGGGTCTAGGCAGAAGGAATAACTCAAAGACTTGAGAGAGCATGGTTCCTTCAGCCAAGCGGCAGTGATTTAGTCAGCCTGGACGGAAGGCCAACATTGGGATCATAACTCTAGATCCGATACTGGGACTTCTCCCACAATGACTCCAAAATGCAAGATTTTGTTAAAAAAAAAAGAAGAAATGCCTCCTCTTTTTAAAACCATGCCATGGGCAGTGGAAGCAACTGTCAGGTTTTACTCAATATGGAAATATCACCACGTCTGCAGAATTGAAGAATAATTTTGGTAGCAGCATGAAAGCTGGATGTGGGTGGGGAGAGGTCATCTGGAAATAGGGATATCAGTTAATGGCTACTGCAATTGTCCAACCAAAAGATGATGAGATCTAAAATGGGGAGAGGTCATGGGGCAGGGGTAAGGAAGGGAGAAACACATCCAAGACTATGTAAGATGCAGGTGTCAGGACATATCTCTTGTTTGGAGCACAGAGGACTAGCTGGATAGTGGTGACACTAACCAGTAGAAGGAATATATGAGAAGGTCTTGTTTGTGAGAAAATGGCCACATTTCAACACTAGACAATGTTAGCCTAAGTTGCCTGTGGCAAACTAGTATTTACTGAGCACATATTATTGGATTGGTCCATCCAAAACTGCTATTTTTGCAGATCAAAGATGGGCTGAATATTAGCAGTTTTCATGATTCAACCTAATGTATCCTCAAGCTTGGGCTTTACAAAGATAATTCCATTTAACTGGATAATCCGTGAGTTAGTATTGTTATTCCTATTTTACAGATGAGAAAACTGAGGCTCAGAGAGGTCAGGGAATTTGCCCTGCAGTTAGCTGGAGGAAGAGCTAGGATTCAAACCCCGCCCTTTCTAGATTCAAGGTCTCTGCTCCTTCTACTTCCCTATGTACCCCCTCACCCCGCATCCCCCAGCTCCAGTTATTTGAGACATATCTGTGCATCAAGGATCAGCAACCTTTTTTGTAAAGACTCAGATATTGTAGGCTTTGCAGGCCATACCATTTCTGTCACAATTACTTGGCTCTGCCATCATGGAACAAAAGCAGCCAGAGATGACACATAAGCAAACAGGTGTGAGCGTGTTCCAGGAAAACTTTATTTGTGGATACCGAAATTTCAATTTCATGTAACTTTCGTGTGTTATGAAATATTATTGTTTTGATATTTTTCAATCATTTAAAAATATGTAAACCATTCTTCGCTTGCAGGCCCTACATAAACCTGCAGCAGGCCAGACTGCTCCGCAGACTGTAGTCTGCTGATGTCTGCTGAATACTATGAAACCAAGTGATATTGTCTAGTAACTTGACTACAGAATAGGGAGGGACAAGATGCGGAGGATTATGCATTCTGCTCTTAGCCACTCCAGTCTTTCAATCTGGAAACATTAATTGGACCCGGATGGATCATCTAGATCTTATGATTGCCCATTTTTAAAATTTTGTTTACATGATAGCTTTGCCCTAAAGGGTGACTGCCAACACTCCCACACCAAAGCAGAATAATCAATGTGTTTCCTATTGATTTTAAATGAGTCACTGAACAGTGAGGCACATTATTTATACATGACCTCCCATTCCAATAATTGGCGTTACTTAAATTATGTCTCCCGAGATTCTTATAATGCTAATTTTTTCCCATTTAGACAGAAAAAATGACGACCAATGCATTCACCTCAATAATTGATGATATTTCTAAGTATTCCATTCAAGTGAGAGCAGCAGTTCGTTCCGTGTGCAGAGCGATGGGGCTCTGGAGCGAGTGGAGTCAGCCTATTTATGTGGGTAAGTGTCTTGTGATTATTTTAAAACAAACCAGCTAAACGAAGCAATTTTAAAACAGATAATCCTGGAAAGTATACACATTCATTTGTGGGTCTTGAAATGCTTTCACATCTCTGCTAAGCCTCTTCATGTCAGTCTACTGCCTTTTTGACCAGAGATGGATTTACTGAGAAGCCAATGAAGATAAGGCAAGCTAGCTTGAGCCTTTTCCAAGGCCCTGTACCTCTTTTTTTTTTTTTTCAGATTATCTGATTCTACTTCTATTCAATCTTTAATAATTAAATTTTTTATTTTGAGGTAATGTAGACTCACATGCAGTTGTAAGACATAATACAGAGAGAGCCTGTGTGGCTTTCTCCCAGTTTCCCCCAAGGGTAGCGTCTTGCAAAACTATCGTATAATATTGCAACCAGAAAATTACCATTGATATAATCCACTGATCTTATTCAGATTTCATCAATTCGGTATGTACTCATTTGTGTGTGTTTACTTCTATGCAATTTTATCACGTGTAGGTTCATGTACCCATCACATGAGGATCCCTCCTGTTACCCTTTTATAAACACAGTCATCCCTCTCTCCCTCTCCTCCATTCCAAACCCATCACAACTACTAATCCATTCTCCATTTCTATAATTTTCCATACGGGATTTTGAATTCATACTTTTGTTTATTTTCTTAAAGAAGATTCCAAAGTTGAATAAGCTTCGGGGCCCACAAAATCTGGATCCATCCCTGGGTCTTCAGCATAACAGACACAGAGGATCAAAAGGATTGGGGATCACCAGGGCACCTGCGTTGGTTCTGCAGCTGTTTTTATTTGACCAAATTGCCCAGTTTATGTAGCAAATAAAATGATCGTTGCATCTGTCAGTGGGATCTGTGAAGGGTAATGAAGTACCCAATGGAGGCTTTGGATGAAAGGGCACATTTCCTTTCTCACTCTGCTTCATCTGGCAATCTCATATCCTGGAGACATGGCTTTGCATCTTGAAGATAGAAAATTCATACCCTGTGTTTACTGGTATCTGGGTTATCTGGGTGTCTTGGGTACCCAAAGGCATTTTATGAGAGAAGGAGATGGTTAAAAAACAACTAGTGTATCTCACTTGTAGGCTGCAATCATGCAGCCTGGGTGCGCAGACATACATGGTTAAGTGCTGCATAAGATCTACAAGAACTTGGAACGGTGGAACGAACACTAGGATCTTACATAGAAAGCACAGGTTTCATGCCCAGCCTTGGCAAAAATTGATTGCATACCCTTGAACAAATCACTTCCCTCTGCCCTTGCTTGGGTTCCCAGGACAAGACAGATAATATCCACTTTGCCCGCCTCACAGGGTATTTTGAAATAAAAACAATAACAACGACAGCAGATAACATTTATTGATGGTTATTTGCTAGTCATTGTGCTAAATTCTTCACATGTATTACCTTTGTTAGTCCTATCAACAAACCTATTTTGCTTAACTCGGCGTGGCCAGCAAGGGGCAGAGATGCGATTCAAATCCAGGTTGACTGACTCCAGCACCAGCGCTCTTAGCACCCCGACATGCTGTGCCAGGATTTTGCAAGCTGCACAGTGCTAAACCAATTGAGACTTATTTAAGAGCTCCTGGTGGCTAACTTGTGGTTATTGCTGGTCAAGCATGTGAATGTCACCTCTCTCTCACCCTATGGGGTATTCAATGATCATTTGAAGAGTATACTTAAGGAGAGATTTCTTTCAGGCACGTGCTAAAATGTTCTATTATTTAATTTATTCACTTAGGTTACTGGGTGGGTCTTCAGGAAATTCCTGGGCAGTGACCCATAAGCCTATGTGGATGTGAGTCAGATCAGACACATGTCAGGTAGATTTCCATGGAAGACTGGGAAAGATGTGAAAAGGCCTGAGAAATGAAGACCTGTTCTGAATTTGCAAGGGTACTGGTCATGCTGAGTTACTGAGTTTCCAAAGGGGAGTGGTACCTCCTAGAGTTGTGCAACACACAACCAGCACAGCCTTATGGGGTGGCCCCAACATTACCCTGCTGGGAATCAGAAGAGCAGCATGAGCCGTCCTGGGGAGAGGAAACAGAAGGAGGATAAAAGAAACGGAGAATAGGCCAACTGCACTTGCTTCATCATTCTGCCAAGGCCAATCTTCCCTCCCCTTGCTCCTCCTTAGATTGGACGCCCAAACTGGACTAAACAGACCAGCACACACAGGACCTCCCTCCACACTGCTTCATCTGCACAAATAAAATTCACTCCGCTACGGAAAGGGACACAAACAAGAGAAACAGTAGTCAGTCCCAGGGAATTTTTAACAAAGTTAGTTATTAATTTTATCAAATGTCTATGGTAGATTAATTTCCATTACTCACATTTGGTGGATTTGTTTTTTAAAATGCTTTATATTATTCCCCAAGGACACAAAACTCGTTGAAAACTCATTGGCCCCAAATTATTGATATTTCTTAGTGTCTTCCCAACATCTCTACATATACAGTTTCAGAGAATTTTTTAATGCTGTCCAAGGACCTCAAACCAACATGGCAAAGACCAAGGTAGGAACCCTAAGGAGCCAGTTCTGCTTTCTGAGTGAGTTTTGAAGTTCTAGTCAGTGTTGACTGCAGAGAACTTAGAACTTATACAGTGAGGAAGAAACAAGAGACAAATCAGGATATCTAGGTTTTAGCCATGGCTCTGCCAATGTCCAGCTCTATGAGACAAGTTAGAGATGGCAAAAGATAATATTTCATGAGCCAAGTAATCAGAGACTGCTTAGAGTGCTGTGTCTGTGTCGAGAAGGATTCTCAGGCTACATTTAGGGCATCAGAAGGAGTGGCGATCTCCTGTCACCACGACAGGGCACAGAGTGGTGACAAGCATGCCAGGGTTTTGCCACCTCTGACCAGTTAGTCATGCCTAATCTCTCTAGGCCTCAGTCTGCTCGTCTGTAAAATGTGTGCTGCACCCCACGCTTCTTTCCAGTTCCACTCTTCACGTTCTTCTATACTCCATCAGCCCACCGCAGAAGTGCTGAGAGTGAGACTGTGACCCATAAGGAGGGTTTATTTTAAGTTTGTTTTTAATTTATTATTCACTCCCCACTTAGAGCTCTTTTCCCATTATTATTTCCTAAATAACGGCTTCCTCATTTGGAACTGGGCGCATTATCGTTTCCCCCCAGGTGTACCTCACTGCCATTATCTATGGCAAATCCTATTTCATTTACTGCCACCCTTTTCATGAAGATGAGCTGATTAATATTACTACTCACCTTATAAATCCATCGTTTCTGGAATTTACTCCCCTGCTCAGTTTAGGATCATTAGTGAATTTAATCAATGCAGACTTTCCATTTTCATCAGGATGATTAATAAACATAATAGGAAGTCCGGGCCCCTCTGGGACACTTTGCATGGCTCTTCCTTACCCCTTGAGGATGCAGCAATAATTATGCTCAGCTTGCAGTCTATCAGGCAATTTTGCTGCTACATTCATTTCCTTTAGACAATCTTCCTCCTCTCCAACCTTGTCATATAAAAGGCACTCTGGAGCCCTCCCCTTCCATTTCACTCCAAGGCCCAGCTCAGATATCACCTCTTTCTTAGATATTATTAAGCCTACCTCCTGCATTTTCAGGTAAGGAGATGGAGGCCCAGAGATAGTAAATAATTCAGTAGTTATCAAAAAGCCAAGTGGTGGCTATTAATTGGTAATTTTCTCAAATAGGTGACTTATGAGTCAGTTACCAATTGGAGTAGATTCAATTAACTAATTAACCCATTACGGCCCAAGGTTATTGAATAGAGCATGAGACGCAGGATGAGTAAGTTTCAATTGATGAAAAGGGAGGCTGGAGGAGACAGGACTGCTGTCCAGCTCGGGTTGGCAGGTCCCTGAACGGTCAAGAGGCACAGGGGATGGCAGTTAGGGGGGACAGCCAGCAAGTGCGTGCTCCTTGCCTGGCCTGAAGCTGCCATAGATCAGCCCTCCTGTGCAAGAATTTCCATAATATGGTACATGTTTTGTTTTCTTTTTCAAATGGAAGTAGCAGGTTCATTTTATCAGTTATCGTTATCAACTGCCCTTCCTCAACTGGCTTCTCTGTCTTATCTTAAGAACTAACTTCCCACTTTTCAACAAGTCTTTCTCCTTTTAAACTTTCTTAACTTCCGGATTCTTCTGTTCCTTTATTATCTCTGCTATCTCCTGTTTACCAAAACATTTTTCTCCTGACCTTGGTCTTAGTGAAGGTTTTTGCTTTCTGAAGTCCATAATCTTCTCTTCTTCTCTGCCCTCCGTGAAGCTCAAATTCCATGCATGAAACAATCAATTAGGAAAATAAATTTCCTACAGTTACATCCTTCCGTGTAGAAAAGAGTGTTATGTGAGTCCACCCTGCATTTATTTCCGGCTGTGTCTTTGGTCAGGCTCGTGTATCAGTGATGGGTCTTACCCACATTCACAGGAATTGCCGCTCAAACAAACAATTGAGCTTTGTCCTGACCTCACTGAAGGTCATATCTGAAGGCCAGGATCTATGCCTTGATGGTACTAGCTGCCAATTTACCAATTTTCAAAAGAAATTTCTTTAGCCTTGAGATGTGTAGCACTTGCACCCAGGGGAGCAGAACAAGGTTGACCACAGTTCTCAGATGGCTCAGCCATGCAGTCAAGGCTAACAGGGGTGCCTTCTGCCTTCTGGGGCACCTCCTTCCACAACAAGAACGGTTACTCATAGGAAATCCTGGGCTTGGCTTTCCTGTCACAGTTGGGGGTGGAGGGGTGGGGGTGGAGGGGTGGGGGTGGGCGTTGGTTCTCAGGGCTGTGTGACACATCCTAGAGCTTGAGAGGACGTAATAAATTAAGGCAGAAAATCAGGGGGCCTGTAAGAATTTGGGCTAAGATCGAAGTAACGTTCCCACAGAGAAACTCTTGTGCCTTTGTCCTCTGACCTGACGTTCAGGGGCTGTGAATGTGTGAGGGGGCCCAGTACATTGGCC